CGCCTTTGGATGAGTTTCAATATAAATAAAATGTATGGTAAAAAAAACAATGTGTTATACGAAAAAAATGGAAGCTACCAACAGTTACTTTAAGAACTGCCTTACATATGAGGAAAAAGAAAAGGATAAATGAATGAGATACAAACTTGTAAACGAATTTTTTTATATATTACAACTGGCTCAATAAGACAATGTGATTTTGACATGTTTTAAAAAATTATTAACAGCTGATGAGAATAATGATGTATCAACTTTAAAATTAACGTGTAAATTATGTGCCACGGTTATTTTATGATTAAAATTGCTATGAAACGTCACCATTTATGACAGATAAGAAATTTAATTTGGCTAATACTGGATTCATATAATATTGCAGTCTTTAATATACATTTATAGAACATGAGGTATTTTTTTTATTTATTTAGTAAACATTTTTTTTTTCTACATGGAAATATTATAACCTTTAATTTTTATATATGTAAGAATTTATATGCAAATAAGTTAATATAAGTTAAAAGCAATGTGTGTTCTGAGTTTTAGATGTGTATGAAATTATTATTATACTTAATATAGTTATTTATACTTTTCTCAAGTCTACAGGCCGATTTAAAAGAAATAAGAATTCTCACAAACCTATGATATCTATAAATGTTTTATTTATTTTTATCGGTACACTAATATATCTTATTAAAAATTTTTAACTTGATTTTTGTTTTTCAATGTTTATTTCATTTATACGTTTTTGAAATTATCATTAATTTGGGTTCAATAAATTGTGATTAAGTTGAAACAGAATCAAATTCATAATTTAATTACTTAATATATGTATATTTTACAAAATAAATAAACTTATATTTAGTTGTTTATCTTTCTACCAGTTTATATTTATCTTTTTTACTAGGTGCATACATGTGATATTGAGCAAATGAAAATGTAAAATAGTCAGATTACCTGTAGATGGAAGAAAATACGTCACAAGTTATAAATTGACTACAAAAATTTGAGTTGAGTTTGGTAACTTATTATTTCAAAATCTAGAGATTTGCCTTAAAAATAAATATAAAAGAAACGTGATGTTTTTGGTTAATTTTGTATCTTTTATTGAACTGGTTTCTGCGCTTAACGTGAAATAAAACTTTATATATTGTCGCTTTGGAAGAAGATAGTTTGACAGTAAAGGATATGGCAAAGTGTGAACAGTGAAAACTCTGTAGCTGGTAAAAGAAATTTATTTTTAAACAATACATATTGTTGAACTGCAATGCTGGATCAGTCAGTTAAAACGAGAATGTAATGTATCCTACATAATGAAGGAATTTCGTGACATATGATTCATCAAATCTATTCATTCGTTTATTTTGTTAGCATATTTTAACGATGCAATTAACAGTTATTGGGTAAATGGGAAAGCCGATATTCATTACTTGAAAAATTTGACTGCGTAAAACTTAAATAAAATATTCTAATATTTTGAAGTCAATCTCAGCGAAAATAATCGATCGCTTTATAAGCCTTTATTAAGCAGTGGATTAATCGATTTCTACATTGTTTTCAGGGTTAAAGCCAAATTAATGCAGAATTCGAATAAGCGTTTTACACAAATCTGATTGGTTGAAAAACGTCATAAGATTTTATTTGTTTACCGCAGCTGACAATGATTTTATTGATTCGTGTGATGTCATCACAATTTACACGAGAATTTAGCAAAAAATTACACATATGTAAACCGAATTCGGGTTTTATATCGAATTATGTCATTTGTATAAAACTACAGAGGAAAGAATCGTTGTATACGAATTACTATATTGTCTTAGCCTGTAGTTTTCGTTCGTTGGATTTAGGTATATACTTAAAGTAAATCAATCACATTGTAGAATCATTAAGCTGTTTTTTTTGTTGAATATAGCTTATAAAGAGTGCATTTCGATAAACGTATTATTTAATAGTATTGAAAATCTGTACTACAGATTTTCAGTACTGTCATACTGTGTCAGTACACTTCGGAATACGTTCAACAAAAGAACAAGGTTTCTAAACGCTATGTGACAAAAGAAAGCATTCATGGCACGGAGAGAAAGACGCCTAATTGAATCGTAGCGCCTTGGCCGTGGATTCTCGAGTGCCAATCTTCAATAGAAGAAGAATCGTAGCGCCACTGGCGTCAGCGTCGCCGCCTGATAAGGCCTGATTTGTTCATTCGCATTATTTCTCGCATCTCGCATACTCGCATTATCCTGACATTATATGTTATATGTTATATTCGCAATAGCTTAGGAACTTGATTTTACGAAGGAGATAAAACCGATCAGTTGCCACCATTGGCCACATTTGTATACAAGCATTAGCCTAATAAGACCATCATCTGAACGGCGTCGGGCGTTGAATATTATTTATCTGATGCGGCGACGAAGCATATCGTTAGAGAAACGTAAGAGCAGCTTAAGTTCGACTGATCAAGATTCAGCGAAAAAGCGAATACGTATAATGGAAGAGGAGCAAGTAAGTTTTTAACAGTTCTTTTTTCAACTTTGTCGAGTGTATGTTATTAGAACGGTAGGAAGCACTTGGTATAAAACTTGGTATAAACGATACAGTATCAATACAATTAATGACATTCCCTAAAGCAATATATAGTTACTCCACGCAATATACTTATATACTCTACGTTGCAAAGAAAATTCAGAAATATTCATACGCGTATCAAATCTATTTTCTACTAGCATGTCCGAGACAGTACCACGTCCAAAATCGGGACGCAAGACGTCTTTCAGCCATCTTTTTTAGTAAGACGTCTTTCAGACGTCTTGTGTCCCCGCTTTTCGGCAAGTGTGTTGTATGGGGTGTAATTTGAATTAACTATTAATGCCAAGAGCTGACTTCAGACGAATCTGTTACTTGTATCAGAATTCAAGACAGAACTCTGTTTATATGTACACTAATACACTACCGCTCATTAATTTCAATATACCCCCGAGATTTGTTGATTTCTCTGTAAAACATGAACATAATACGTGTGTTTTTACACAGAAAAATGAATGCACTTGCTGTTATAAACGCTTCACTTGCATGCATCGTATTTTTATATATATTATTTATATAAAAATTCTTAGAAACTTTAGTTTTCGAAAAAACGGTTCTATAACAGCCGGATATAGTGTCTGATCCCTGAAAATAAAGAAAATACGCGCACAAGGTCAGGTCAGGTGACCTTGCGCGTGTATTTTCTTTATTTCCAAGAGTGGGCCTATTCTGTAACTCTTAACGACAGTTTCGTTATCATTATAATTGCGTTGCGCAGATATTATATATATGATAAAAGAGCTACCCAACGACAATAATAACGATAACGAAACTGTCGTTAAGAGCTACAGAATAGGTTCACTCAGGGATCAGACACTATCCGGCACTAGCCCCGTTTTTTTTTTTTAAACTACCGTTTTCAAGGATTTTTATATAAATAATATATAAAAATACGATGCATGCAAGTGTTGAAAGTGTTTGTAACAACAGGTACATTCATTTCTGTGCAAAACACGTATATCATATTCATCTTTTACAGATGAGAAATTAAAGAATCTAGGGGTGTACTGAAATTAATGAGCGGTAGTGTATGTAACATGCAAAACGCTTTAAAAATTGGATTTATATATACATCAAAATGCATAGAGCATAATATGTTTTTCTTTTTAACGAGAATTGTAGATCTTGTAAGACTTAAGCAAAATACTGTAAGTTATTCTTTAATAGTTTTATTATGACAAAACTGTCAAGTATTTATTGATATCGAGTTTGATCAACAAAAATAGTCGTATTTAAGTTTTCTTCTATTATTTGGCTATTTATTCAACTTTTTTGTGATTGACATAAAATGCATTGTTATTTTTTAAAAGAAAAATATGCTAAATATATATATATTGTGTCTCAGAAACCTCTGTATATTTTTAGCTAAATCAGATTTTAAGTGACTCGTGTCCATATGTGTAAACATGTTATTACTTGTTGAGAATGTTTGTTTTTGTTTAAAATTGAATTGATTTTATTAAAAGGCATAAAGACTTTTAGAGCATTTTGATTATTTTTATCGTTCGTAAGTAAGTTAATTATTTCCAGATGTCTAACAGCGAAGAAATAAGGAATGTCTCTGAAAATAATACCCCGAAAGAGCAGCGGACAGTGTTTTCACCAATTTTACCTATATATATCAAAAGTTTTTCTGAAACACACATGGAATCGACTATAATTGACCACACATGGAAAATTAATCAATTTTTACGTTTTCACGAGATCAAGAATGCGATAACGTTTTCATCGTTCCCGGAAATAGATAAATGCGAGATTCTAATGAATGTTTCACGTCAACCTGATACGAGTTATGTAATAAAATTTTATATACTTACTAGTAACTCATTTGACGGTTCATGTAACACATCTATAATGCTAGAGCCTGAAACAGTTATATCAGTTAATTTTATTTCGGGTCATATGTCAAATATGACATTATTGAGTGAGATTTCGACAGACAAGTTTGCTTCGCTTAGTCGTACAGATACACTTACAATACGTTGCGAGTTCGAAATTTTTCATAATCTGATAAATAAAACTGTACGTCTAAGATTACTGCAATCTTCAACAAATGTTTCAAAAGTCACGAAATGTCGTGAAGATTCAACTTTTGATGAGTCTAGAAATGAGGAATTAATCAAATTTATAATAGGAGAAAAACAGTATGTTATATCAAAAAAATCGTTGCGCGCCACCCATAGTAACTACTTTATCAATATCTGCCGTACACATGAGGGAAAAGAAAAAAATTTGACCATTAATATGAATGAATTAGTAGCGGATAATGAGGTAGAATCTTTTAGACAGATTTTATTATTTATTTTAACTGGCTCCATAGATCATGGTGATTATGACATGCTTAAAAAATTGTTAACAACAGCTCATAAGTATGATGTATCAGCTTTGAAATTAATGTGTGAAAATTATTTATTACGCTATATTACAATTGAGAATGCTGTGGAACTTATACAACTTGCGTTTTCGTCTAAAGCCAAATTTTTAAAAATACATTCGATAAGTTTTATTAAATTTCACATAAAAGAAATTATGGACACTAAAGAATTTCAAAACCTACCGCAAGAAGATTTAAATGAGATAATGGTAATGATTGAGAAAAACAAATCACTTGAAATCGACATTCATCAATTCTTTTCGTCACCACCTATGGCAGATAAGACATTTTCATTCGCTAATATTTGATTCATATAATAACAATCATAGAACACGATAAAGATATTTTTTTTTTTTAATTAGTAAACGTGTTTTCTTTTTTTCCACAAATGTAACTTTGAATTTTTATACATGTTAGAATTTATAAGCAACGAAGTATTATATGTAGTACAAATTAAAAATAATTCTTGATTTGAGTTTAGATGTATGAATATAAGACTGTCACTAATTATACTTAACGTAGTTTTCTTGGTTGTAATTTTTTTAAATTTATAAGTTGCTTAAAAACAAGAAAATAAAAAATAAGAATCCTTACAAACCTATGCTATCTATAAATGTTTTATTTAATTTTATCAGTACTTCCTAATCGTTCTGTATGTTATATATATCATCCTGTGTACGTATTATATTGTAGTGTCAGAATTTTTAGGATTACCTTAGCTTTTTCAACAAGCAAGTTATTTTTTATCACAAATTTTAGTTGATAACTCATATTTTAAAATCTAGATTTGTTTTAAAAATAAAAAAAAATGTGACCTTTTTGGTTAATTCTGTAGTATCTCTTGTTAATCTATAAGTTTCTGCGCTTGATTAAAAATAAAACTTTACATTTTCGCTGTAGGAAAATGTAATTTAAAAGTAAAGGATAAAGTAAAGTACGAACAATAGACCTGTTCTTTTTAACTGAACTTCTTGCATGGTTTATCTTTTCTCTTTTTCCCTCCAACGTGAAAAGAGAATTATTATATTATACAGAGAGATATTATATTATCAATACATTTTGGGAAATGTATTGATGGTATTAAAAATCCATAATTTACATTAAGTTTGCTATAGATTTTCAGTACTGTCAGTATAATTCGGAATACACCAAAAAATAGACTCAAGTCTCTAAACACTACCTGACAAAACAATTAAGATGTCAGTGGCCCAGAGATGCCAGATTTGAACTCGCGCCACTCGCGGCGGGCCGAATAGGATGATGCATGACCCCTCCATCTATCTTCCGGTTCCCGATTAGCCTAGCCGGCGCGCGAGTCAGCGAGTCTGGCAACGCTGCGAATAGCCACGTTCATTTGTTTATTCGTGTTATAAGTTATTTCTCACGTGTTGTTACAGCATATATGTTCACAGTAGCGTGGAAACTTGTCGATAAAAGGAAATCTTAATCAAAGAAGTCAGTTGCCACAAGTCTGTGCACGCATCAGTCTAATAATTTCTTCATCTGGACGGTGTTAGAATATTACCGAAGCATGTCTGCAGGGAAACGTAAGATCTCAGTAGGTTCGAGCACGCCGGCCGTGGTTGTATCAAACGGTTGTGTGAGTTCGACTGATCAAGATTCAACGGAAAAGCGAATAAGACGTAAAATGGAAGAAAAGGATGTAAGTGTAAGTTGTTAACAGTTCTCTTTTCAACTTCGTTGACTACGGCTGCGATCCACTTGATGCTACAAAGGCTGCGGTCCACTTGACGCTACAAATTCTTTGGAGCGTCCTTCTTCTCCTTCTTTCTTCATTGAAAGAAAAGAGAAGAGGAATGCTTCGAAGCATTTGTAGCGTCAAGTGGATCGCAGCCAAACTTGATGCTTCGAAGCATTCCTTTTCTCCTTTCGTTCAATAAAGAAAGAAGGAGAAAAAGAACGTTTCAAAGCATTTGTAGCGTCAATTGAACCGCAGCCTTTTACGTGTTATTAAAACATTAGAAAACGCATAAAATTTTAGTGGTATAAATGAATTAATACATTCGTGACATTTTCTGAAGCAGTTCCATGCATTCTACGTAGCAAAGAAAATTCATAAACGTAGTCTGATCTACAATGTGTTCTTTGCTTCCTGTTTTCTGCTCTTAAAGCCTGATCTACATTTTCTGTTCTCTGTCGCTCAAGATAGAAATTGACGAACTTCAGAAGAGACAAGAAACATCACGTTACGTACGCGACGGAATTGCGAAATACGAGATAAGAGTCGCAAAGAGATTATGAGCAGAAAACAGGATTCACGTACCAAATCTGTTTTCCACTATCATGTGTAATTTGAATTTAAAAATTATTTATGCAAAAAGTCCATCTCAGATATCTGTTACGTCTATAGGAATTCAAGATAGAACTCTATATGTAATAAGGAATATTCAGAATATTATTTTGACACGCACGCACGC